AACATTGTGAGAGCTTCCTATGTGTCAGACATGGTTTTCAGCACTGTATATGAATTAACCCATTTAATGTTCAACATGACACTATGAAAACTCATATCCCCACTGTGTAAATGAACGAAGCAACTGGAGAAGGCCAAATTATTAACCACTTGATTTCTGTCTCCTACTCTGAAGGAGAGAGATCCTCTACTCCTTTTAAGGCCTTCAAAATGTTTAATGATTTCTTACTAAATGATGATTCCACTTTTTCTAGAAAAAATTATGTCTATTTTTCTATGCACTCCATTTGGGTGGCAGGAGAAGGCTGAGAAGTGGAAGAGCCTTAGCAGCACAGCCTTTGCTCTCATTTATGGAAGTTGAGGCACCAGCCTGGGGAAACCAAACAAAACAAAACAAAAACAAAAACAAACCTGCTTTGACTGATGCCTTAAATCTTTTGAACAGAGAAAAACCTTGTGCCATATTATCAGAACTTGACCCAGGGTCTGAATGTAAAGACCCCCTGAGCGAGTCTTAAACCAGACGACCAATGACCAGTTTCAGAAGCAGCACAGCAGCATGGGAGTCTATTGTTCTTGGGGTCTGGTAGATCTTATTTTGGATCCTAATGCTGTAACTTTCAAGTTCTTTGTTTACTTTTAATGTTTTTTTTTTGTTTGTTTGTGCTTCTGGGTGAACTCACTGTGCTTTTTAAAAACAATTTAAGGTAGATTGCATTAAAACATACAAAGTACTTCAAAATGCTCCTGGAAAGATTCGTTTTAGCTTTCAATTCTATTTTTCCACAAACTTTTGGAAGTACCCTGTACAATACAGGAAGATTAATTTACAGGTAAGTATAGATGAGTTCAGCAGGGCAAAGAGAGTATGGAGGTAAGGAGGATAAGTTGAAGCCAGAGTGATTGTATATTTGCTAGAAATTAACCTGTCACTGCTCTAAGCAGCCAACATGAAGATTGAAACATGAACAGTTACATGATTTAGTATATCCATAGGAGAAAAGGAAATGTTTTGTTCAAGAAGAAAAAATTTTTAAGAAAGTTTTCCCTGGGTCCTCATTACAAGGAATGTTTATAATGATGAGTGTGTAATGATCAGAAAAGGCAACACTGAGTTTCTGTTTCTTCTTACTGAGTATCTTTCAATGTCATTATTTTTTCTCATGCTTAAAGAAATATGTATTTATTTAAGGACATTTAAGAAATACATATAAATAAAATGAAGAGAAAAAAGTATTAACCATAATATCATCATCTAGAAATATCCACGTTAACATTCTGATGTTTATAGTACAAATTCATTTATATCAGGGTCTGTTAAACTTCTTCTGTGAAGGATCAGGTTGTGAGTNTGTGAGTATTTCAGGCTTTGTAGGCCATATGGTCTCTATGAACCATCATTTCTGTTACTGTAGCATGAAAGCAGCCATGGACAGCATGCAAATGAATGGGCATAGCTGTGTTCCAATAAAACTTTATTTACAAAAAGGAGCAAGTGGCCAGATTTGGGGCACAACCACAGTTTTCCAGCCCCTGATTTATACCTGCCGTTCAGTCCTTCCTTCCCGTCTTCCTTCCTCTTCCTCCTTTCTTAAAATTATTTTTACAAACATTTTATTTTTAAATAATTATAGATTCACAGCGCGCACTTATCCAGTGCGCCACCGGGCTGGCCCAAGAAGAAAAAATTTTTAAGAAAGTTTTCCCTGGGTCCTCATACAAGGGATGTTTGTAATGATGAGTGTGTAATGATCAGAAAAGGCAACACTGAGTTTCTGTTTCTTCTTACTGAGTATCTTTCAATGTCACTATTTTTTCTCATACTTAAAGAAATATGTATTTATTTAAGGACATTTAAGAAATACAAATAAATAAAATGAAGAGAAAAAAGTATTAACCATAATATCATCATCTAGAAATATCCACGTTAACATTTTGATGTTTATGGTACAAATTCATTTATATCAGGGTCTGTTAAACTTCTTCTGTGAAGGATCAGGTTGTGAGTATTTCAGGCTTTGTAGGCCATATGGTCTCTATGAACCATCATTTCTGTTACTGTGGCATGAAAGCAGCCATGGACAGTATGCAAATGAATGGGCATAGCTGTGTTCCAATAAAACTTTATTTACAAAAAGGAGCAAGTGACCAGATTTGGGCCACAACCACAGTTTTCCAGCCCCTGATTTATACCTGCCGTTCAGTCCTTCCTTCCTGTCTTCCTTCCTTTTCCTCCTTTCTTAAAATTATTTTTACAAACATTTTATTTTTAAATAATTATAGATTCACAGAAAGTTTTAAAGATAGTATAGAGAAGTACTGTTTTCACTCACTATAAATCTTCAAAAGCCAACAAAATTGTTTCTCTTATTAATAGTTTGTTCCTTTTTAATTACAGAGTAGTATTTAATGACACCACAGTTCGTTTAATTATTCACCCATCATAGTGCATTTTGATTGTTTTGATTGTTTCCAGTTTTGCCCATTGCAAATACTGCTGCTGTGAACAATTGTATGAGTATACAGGATCAGAGAATCATGTCTTTGATAGGTTTATGTTTCATGTGGAGAACATTGGATCAATCCTGACCTGTCCATTGCTCAGCAAAAGAAGCAAATCTTCCTCAGGAACCTAGCATCAGACATTTCCAAAATTCAAACGTTCTGCAGCACACATAAGACAGAGGAGGGTAAGTGTTGAAATTAACCTTATTATATGCAGCCAAAATAAAATTCTTGATGATATTGCTTTTAAAAAAAATTATTTAAACAGGTCATATTTCACCTCTGCATCTTGTTGTTTAGCTCTTTAGACTAATTTATATATTTAACAGGGTTGCATATCTTAGTTCACACTATAATTTGGATGTGCAAAGAAAAAAATAATCCCTCCATTTTGTCTTTAGGAGACCTGGCCTTCCTTGTGAGCCTCATGCATTCCCATCAAGGAAAAAAACCAAAAATGTCCAATCAGGTTGAAATTTTGTCTTGTCATTAATTTATCTTATTTTATTTATTTTTTTTTCGTGACTGGTAAGGGGATCATAACCCTTGGCTTGGTGTTGTCCACACCGCACTCAGCCAGTGAGTGCACTGGCCATCCCTATATAGGATCCGAACCCGCGGCCTTGGTGCTCCCAGCACCGCACTCTCCCGATATTTTTTTTCGTGACTGGTAAGGGGATCATAACCCTTGGCTTGGTGTTGTCCACACCGCACTCAGCCAGTGAGTGCACCGGCCATCCCTATATAGGATCCGAACCCGCGGCCTTGGTGCTCCCAGCACCGCACTCTCCCGAGTGAGCCATGGGGCCATCCCCTGTCATTAATTTAAATAGTTCTTTTAGAGAGTGCTTTCAGATTTCTCAGTCTCCAGAGTCTCCCTTTAGTCTCTCTAGGATGGAAGGAAAGAACTTGGGATGCGGATCCTCTCACCTCCTGGGTTCTGCTGGCTGAAGTCTATGGGTGGGGTGACTATGTGCTGGTTTTCTGGCTTTCTCTGTCTTCTGCCCCAAATCCCCTCAGGCCCAGAAATGATGGTTTTGCCTCCAGGTCAATCCTAAAGTTAAATCCTTAATATGCTATATGGAAGATAAAGACTTTGGAAAAAATTGTCAGTCATGACTGTATCATTCCTGACTAACATGGCAGTTGTCTCCAGCAGTATGCTGTTATAATGTCAAAAACTATCTTTGGACTTTTGGTTTTCTTTTGTAACATTTCTAATTTCCTCATGATCCTCCTCTTTCCCTTAAGGCTGCCCAGGAACCAGGACAAAGGTCCTATACAGAAAAGAAAAAAGAGAAAAAAAAATTAATTTAAAACATTACCCTATTACAATACATTGAAAACTGTACAGTAAAGCTTTGCATGCATCTTTGAAGGCATTGGGACTTTCACTGATGAGTTTGGATCCCAGAGAATAATCTAGAGATATATAACTAAATAATGTAGCCCATTTGAATACCTGGAATAGAGAATAATTAACTTATTTTTGGAAAGACCTATCTTTAGTACTTTTGACTAAAAATATCTTGAGAGGAAAGAATCTAAAAAAATTAAATGTAACCTATTAGTTTAAAGAGCAACCTTTGTATAGACCAAATACCTGGAAAGTTTTTGCATTTGTATTTTAGCATTTTTTTTTTAAATTCCTTGTGCTCTACAATTCTAATATGTTCTTGCAATTTGTGCATTTCTGCTCAGCTCTTGTTTTAGAAGTCCAAAGTGACATTGTGTCTGGAGGCAAGCTTGCTGTGAATAAACCTATAGCAAGTTTTGGAGAAGAGAAGCAAGTTAAAGAACCAGAGGAAAAGCAAATGCCAAAAGATGCTTCCAGTGAAATTCTGTAAGTAATCACTGTAGCCAGAAAAGCTACCTGGTTGCTTTTTGAACTCAGCTCATTAGCCTGATAACAGCACACAGCCCATGCAGGGAACTCATGCCAAGTCTGTGAAACTGCTGTCAGGTAGAGAGCTGGTATTTAATTAATTTTCTGGCAAAATGATAGAACTGGAGCTTCAGTGTTCAACCATCACAATGATCTACTTTCAGTAATATTGTTGTAGTGTTACTACTTTAAAAAGACTAGAATCTCAAAATTGTAGACATTTATTTGAGGAGTTTATCATATTTTGTTTCCATAAACATTGACTTCAGGAATGATTAAGCTTCTTCCCTAATGTATGTTCAAGTTAGTTGCACATTAATACACAATTATCATTCTGGATCATTGAAATAGCTTTATGATGGGTCACTATCTCCATAATATCCTCTTTCCAATTCACTTCTAAGTTCCATCTGTGGACAACTAGCTTTCTAATATGCCATCCTTTTTATACAGTTCTTCAATGGTTACCTATTGCAGACAGAAAAAAAAGTATTAGTCTGGAAAATAATTGTTAGTCCCAAGCCCTCAGACCTTCACCCATGTCTGTCACTGACTGTCACTTGCACCCCCATGCCAGCTCCTCCTCCATGGTTTTTCTTCCTGCCATATGAACTCCAAGCTCCAGCTCAGCGACTGGAAGCTGTGTCTCAATGTGGCACATTCCACTTATGATCTGCTGCAGTCCCTGAGTCACATATTAATTCCTCTCTACCCAAAGTGCCTTTACTTGCCCCATACTCATCTGTAGAATGACTCTCCATCATTGAAATCAATTATAGCAATAATTGTATGTAGCAATACACACATCAGTCTCTCTCCCCACTCTCCACTCCCCCCCCCAACCTGGGGGCAAGGATTCTGTCACATGTGCTCTGTGAAGAGCAGAGTAACTGGCTTTAATCATTTACTAGATAAATAAAAGAATAATTGAATGAGTTTTCAAATTATAGAACAAAAACTACCTGGTCAATTACCATTGCACTAATTGTGAAAATTAATTTATATATCATTGTTATAAACTTTAAAAGACTGTTTCTATTCTCAGTTATAAGAACATTAACTCTTATTTTAGAAACCAAATTTTCTCATTTTCATGGATGATTTATCTGGTCCTATGTCCTCATACTAACAAAGGCACCAGAAGGCATTTTTCAGAGAGAATGATTTGTCCTGTATGGCATCTTCCTCAATGGTTAGGGAATTGACCACAAACTTTCAAAAAATTCCCTTTTATTCTTCTATAGAATGTATCATCTAGCCTGAGTTATTAGTCTGCACTTGGGGAAAAAAAAAAAACAGAAAGTAAGAGAAAAGAAAGAGCCATCTTTGAGAGCAAAGCTCCTCTTAAAAATTCCCTTTTATTCTTCTATAGAATGTATCATCTAGCCTGAGTTATTAGTCTGCACTTGGGGAAAAAAAAAAAAAACAGAAAGTAAGAGAAAAGAAAGAGCCATCTTTGAGAGCAAAGCTCCTCTTGTTCTGAATCACAGATTTCATCAAGTCTCGAGTCCTTGAGGTAAAAGGGATTGAGTCCACTCAGAGTACAATGCAGGCATCTCCTGCACATTCCAGGCAGGCTTTTTTGCTCCAGCTTCTTCTTGAATACTCACATTAACATGGAGATTACCATTTCACAAGGCAGCCATTCTCATGTTTAAATAATTAATTATTTAGAAATCTCCATCTATGATTACATCTATTTCTCTGTACTATGCACTATTCCTCTTCTACTTGACAGTCCTTAAAATACGTGAAATATTTATCAGGACACTGGATTATCTCTTTTCAGGCTTTCACTAGTTCTTTAAATCATTTCTTTTAAGAAAATTACTTATTTTTAATTGATATGTAGTGATTGTACATATTTATGGGGTACAGAGCTATATTTCAATACATGTGTACAATGTGTGGTGATCAACTCAGGCTAATTAGCATCCATCACCGCAAAAATGTATCATTTCTTTGTGATGAGAGCATCTGAGCTCCTCTCTTCTAGCCATTTGAGAACATACAATAAATTATCGTTAATTATAGATGCCTAGCATTACTGTACACCACTAGAATTTATTTTTCCTATCTAGCTGTAATTTCAACCAGCCTCTCCCTAGTCTCCCCTCACCCTCCCTTCCTAGCCTCTAGTAACTGCAGTTCTACTGTCTACTTCTATAATCTCAACCTTTTTTTTTAGCTCTCACATATAAATGAAAACTTTGTATCTTTCTTTTTCTTTTTTTAAACTATTTCTTTATTTTATTTTTTACTTTTTATTTATTTATTTTTTACTTTCTTAATTTTTATTGAATCAAAATTGATTATACAAATTTTGGGGATTCAACGTTGAGATATGTTGGTCAAAGCAATATTACTAGCTTATATATTATTACAAATCGTAATTATTATTTATGCCCTTTGTCCAATCCCTCCCCATCTCCCTTTCCTTCCCCCTTCCCCCTCCAACTACCCTAGATTTCTTCTCACCCTCTGAAAGAATAATGGTTACTCTGTTCATTTGCTGCCCAAAAGATCTGTCCAATGCTGAGAGGTGTGATCAGGTCCCCCAATACTATCATAGAGCAGATGC